CTGATGCCACACAGCAGCATGTCAAAAAATATGAATCTCAAAATGGTCAATACATTTTAAAGACATGTGTACATTTGCATTATAAACTATAGACACATTAATGGCAAGGTCCAGTCGGATCTTGTCAGCTAGTTTTTCTTTTTATTTACCTTTTTTAAGGACAGTGATGATCGTGGACATTTAAGGACATTTATTAACATTTATGGACGTGGTCATCCAATTTCCTATGAACCAATGGCTCTTACATGTCCATAGGTCTCTGTGGTCTCCATCTGGTCTCTCTCTCTAGTTTCTCTCTGGTCTCTCTCCCTGGTCTTCCTGGTCTATCTGGTCTATCGCTGGTCCCTCTCTGGTCTGTTTGCGGCTGTTTCTTTTTGTTTAAACTGTTTAATTGTTTGATCTGTTATGGACAAAGGGACAACTTTGTAAAGTTCTTCGAGACGACTGCTGGTGAGCATTAGGACAATACACAAAGAATATCAGTCGCAATAGTTCTCATTTGCCTGTCGTAATCGACAACTCCCAGGTGCAGATCGTAGAGGAGCAAGTTTCTGGGTTTAACTCTGTCTAACCTGAAATGGGTTAAAAACACTGACCGAGTCGTTAAGAAAGCTCGTCAGCGTCTCTACTTTCTGCGTAAACTTAGAGAATATACCACTAACTCTAAGATTGTGCTTAACTTTTATGGCTGCACCATTGAGAGTTTACTTGTTGGTTCTGTGTCTGTGTGGTTTGGAAACATCACAGATAAAGAAAAGAGAGCTTTAAACAAGGTGCTCCGCTCTGCAAAGAGGACCGTGGGCTGTGAGCTTCCTGTTCTGGAGGTTCTTTATAAATCCAGACTTTTAAACAAAGCTCTGAGGATTGTTAATGACTCTTCTGGCCACCCTGGGAAAGCCATGTTCCAGCTTCTTCCCTCTGGCAGAAGATATCGCTCTCTGAGATGCAGGACATCTCGTTACGCTAACAGTTTTTATCCACAAGCTGTTATCAGTGTGAACAGAGCACTTTAATGATTTGCACTTGTTTTGAACTGTTTTAGTCGATCGATTTCATAGTGACACTTGTTTACTGTTTTATTTGTTTTATTTCTGTCTTTTAATGTTGTTTTAAATCTGTATTTGTCTGTGCACACTGGAGACTTTTGCTAATGTATTCCTATGTGTTTTTTTTTTACTGCAAATGGCAAATAAATAAACTGAAACTGAAACTGAAACTGAACTGAAACTGATCATACAGGTCTCATTCAGGTCTGTTGTAATGGCCAAGAACCTCAAACTTCCCAGTGTGTAAACTTTAAATTTGAGGAATATCAAGTAGGTAGGAGCATCCTGTCAAAAAGTGAATGTTTAAAAGCTCTTCCAATAGAAATAAGCACATGTGGCTGTTCCACATGTGTACTATAGCCAAAGCTGCCCAAGGGCACACTGACAGAAGTGAGGCCGACATTTTGTGCCATCGGCACCTCCGACCACCATCATCCACACACACACCAGACTCAGACTAGGCAAGGGCCAAACTGCTGTTGTGTCCTTAGGCAAGACACTTGCCTAAGGACATTGCCTTTTCCTGGATCCCCTACCTCAGTCCTGAATCTACAGCCCGTCCGTTGGAGCAGATCCTTCTGTCAATACAGAGGGATGAAGACCGAGGTTTTTCACTTTTTAAGATTAAACATTAGGAGATGTTTTCCCACTGTGTTTCTGAGTGGTTCCTTGCAGATGCTGGAGAGTCTAAGGACTGAAGCTTCAGGACATTTATTAACATTTCTGGACAGTGGTCATCCCGCTCTCTTTGGACTAATGGCTCCTGTGGCTTTATTATTTGAACTGTTTGATTCTCTGATCTGTTGTTGACGAAGATCCAACTTTGTAAAGTTCTCTTAGTCCTGCTGTTGTGATATAGGGTGAAAGAATCGAAACCAACAACTGTGAATGTGAAGCCTATGGCTCAGAAGCACGAGGAAGTTAACAGACTTAATTTGCCAACATGTTTTGCCACAGCGAGTTGGAAAAGAACTTCAGCATGAGCACTTCCCTGTTGGGTTTGGTTGACCTAGCGTGTTAGCATCGTCCATCTCTATGCAGTCTATAGTATTTATCCTACACAGTTACACTCTGAGCCTCTCTCCTCCCAATCAAACGTGCCATTTCCAGAGTGCCTTTCCCGTTAACCGTCGTTCATTAGGATTGATGTGCCGCCGCCGCGCTGACAACGACACCAGTGATGGATCCGACGAGTTTTCACACAACGTAATGACAAGAGGAAGAGACCTTGTCAAGAGAGCGCCACGCATCACAAACTTCAGAACACTAAAGTTTCCCCAAACATTAAAATTGACAGATTTCGGGGTTTCAGTGTCTGCATGAGGGGAAATGGCTTCAGGCTGTGATAAAGTGCCAAAAGAAAAAATCTGATGACAAGTCTATATTAAAGCTGCAGTATCTGAATTTTTAGTGTTTTTGTCCCCAACAGTAAGAGTTTAAATCTGAACATGTGAACAAAATACTAAAATTGGTCAATCCACTAATGGTTACTGAGCGGGTATTTTTACTTATAAGTCAATATAGGAGCCAGTGCGAGTTGGAGCAAAACTTCACCATGAGCATTAGGAATAGACCAGCGAGAGAGACCAGAGAAAGACCAGGTATAGACCATAGAGTAAGAAGCCAGAGAGAGACCAAAGACCAGAGAGAGACCAGAGATAGAGAGACCAACAAGGAACCAGAGAGAGAGAGAGAGAGAGAGAGAGAGAGAAACCAGGGAGACAGAGACCAGACAGTAACTATAGACCAGATATAGACAATAGACCAGAGAGAGACCAAAGAAAGACCAAAGAAAGACCAGTGAGAGAGCGAGACCTACCAAAGAACGACCAGAAAGAGAACAGAGAGAGAGAGAGGCCAGAGAGAGACCAAAGGGAAAGAGAGCAAGACACCAACAGGGAACAAGAGAGAAAGAGAGAGAGAGAGACCAAAGCCCAGGGAGAGACTCGAGGAAGGGAGACAGTGACCAGAGAGTGATTAGAGACCAGGTATAGCCCATAGAGAAGAAGGCTAGAGTGACAATACAAAACAATTATTATCTCAGAGGACTTAACAAACCCATTGAAATCACCAACGCAGATCAGAGAATCAACAGTTAAGACACAAAAAAGAATACAGAACACGTGATGATAAATGTCCATACATGTTGCGACCAGAGAGAAAGGCCATCGAACTGAATTTCTCCATCTGTGAGATAATAAAGGATTGATTGATTGAGAGACCAAAGAACGACCAGAAAGAGACAAGAGAGCGACCAAAGAACAACCAGAGACCAAAAACCAGAGAGTGACTTAGAGAGACCAGAGAGGGAGAGGCTATTGAGAGAAAAGGGGGGACACACATTTTTACAGAACCCTTCAAGAACCCTTCTAAATTCTCGTCCTCCATTACTGTTTTTTTCCAAGCGGTAATGAATTGTCTACAGTGGCACGGTGCAGAGATGGTTAAATTCTGTCTATAAACTTTTCGAGCGGATGTAAATTGGCGGCAGTAGTTGTTCCAAAAGTGAGAGTTTGGGCGATGCAGCAGTTTCATCTTCATTATGTTTAAATGGAGAGCTGAGGTGGAGGTCTGTCTCTGATCAGGCAGCGACATATGGCTCCTGTACGCGCCGTCATTTCATCGGACACTTGTATTCCCCAGTGATCAGCATGGGACACCGCTAACACACACACACAAACACACGTACACATACACACACGTGCACACACATACACACACACAAACATGCGCATTGTTCACTGACTGAGCGCTGTCAGGACATATGAGGAAACTGTACCAAGTGTATAATGAGACCATAGTGCTGAGACCTGAGAGAGAGTTCAGAGAGACTAGAGAGAGAGACCATAAGGAGAGACAGACCAATGAGAAACCAGAGAGAGACCCAAGCGCAACCAGAGAGAGACCTTATATAGAGAGATTAGAGAAATATTGTAGCAGAGAGATTAGAGAAAGAGAGAGACCACAGAGAACCCAGAGAGAGGGAGACTAACAAGAAATCAGACAGAGACCATAGGGAGAGACAGACCAACGAGAAACAAGAGACCAGGGAGAGACCCAAGCGCAACCAGAGAGAGGCCTGAGATAGAGAGATTAGAGAAACATTATAGCAGAGAATAGAGAAAGAGAGAGACCACAGAGAACCCAGAGAGAGGGAGACCAATGAGAAATCAGAGAGAGAGACCATAGGGAGAGACAGACCAACGAGAAACCAGAGAGAGAGACCAGGGAGAGACCCGAGAGCAACCAGAGAGAGACCTTATATAGAGAGATTAGAGAAATATTGTAGCAGAGAGATTAGAGAAAGAGAGAGACCACAGAGAACCCAGAGGGAGAGGGAGACTAACAAGAAATCAGAGAGAGACCCCATAGGGAGAGACAGACCAACGAGAAACCAGAGACCAGGGAGAGACCCGAGAGCAACCAGAGATAGCAGAGAGACCATAGGGAGAGAGAGAGGGAGAGAGAGAGACCAGCGATAAACCAGAGAGACACCAAAGACAGGGACCAAAGAGAGAGACCAGAAAAATACCCGGGAGAAACCAGAGAGAGACCATTTCCAGAAAATTAAATAACATTGGCCAAAATGTGAAGTCCCTGGTAAGTCACGACTGTATGTTTGTTTGTTTATTGTTGTCTTTTGTGTCCGTTTGTTTCAAATTGGACTTGGATTCTGTAATAACATTAAATTGAATAACCAAATTCTGAATCATAAGTAAATAATCATTAGTAAGTAAGTCAGATCTCTTCTGGTTCTCCACACTGGTCTGCCGCTGGTTTGTCACTGGTTAGTTGCTGGTTAGTCGCTGGTTAGTTGCTGGTTAGTTGCTGGTTAGTTGCTGGTTGTTTGGTTGCTGGTTGGGCATGTGTGCGTGGCAGTATTAGCCCTGACAGATCGCACTGTTAATTGCTAATTGTGTTTCTCATTAAGCGGCGGGTGACAGGTGTTGTGAGTTGTTGGGGCCCCCGATGAATTGGACGGGCCCCCGGTGAGCTGCCGTGCCGATCCTCCGCCTAATGGCTCCCCTGAGGGCCCACATCAGCCCCTGGGCGCGGCGCAGCACGGGGCCCGCTTTAGAAACTGTGTTGCAGCAGAGGCCCCCGGGGACCCCTCCCAGGAGCCGTGACGGATAACACTCGTCTCATGTAAACATTGTCAATCTTTTATTCGCAGCCGTCGAGGCATTTGTGGCATAAAGAAGCGAGTTAAGACAACAGCAGAGAGAGGGAGCAAAGACGGAAGAAAAATCAAAACAGAAAAACACAGCACTTATATTCAATATCCCTGGTCTCTGTCTCTGGTCTCTGTCTCTGGGGCCTCTCTCTGGTCTCTGTCTCTGTCTCTGGTCTCTGTCTCTGGGGCCTCTCTCTGGTCTCTGTCTCTGTCTCTGGTCTCTGGGGCCTCTCTCTGGTCTCCAATTGACCTCTCTTTCGTGTCTGGAGGTGGTCACTCTCTAGTCTCTCTCTGGTGTCTCTCTCTCTCTAGGCTCTCTGGTATTTCTCTTGTCTCTATTTTGTCTCTCTCTAGCATCTGTAATCTCTCTCTCAGGAGGTCTCTCTCCAGTGTTTTTGGTCTCTCTCTCTCAAGTCTCTTTGGTCTCTCTCTGGTCTCTCTCTCAAGTCTCTTTGGTCTCTCTCTGGTCTCTCTCTCTGGTCTTTCTTTCCGATTTCTCTCCGGTCTCTCTGTCTGGTTCCTCTTTCTGGTCTTTCCCTTGTCTCTCTCTTGTATGTTTGATCTCTCTCTCAGGAAGTCTCTCCCTAGTATTTTTGGTCTCTCTCTCAGGTCTCTTTGGGCTCTCTTTCCGATTTGTCTCTGGTCTCTCTCTCAGGTCTCTTTGGTCTCTCTCCGGTCTCTCTTTCCGATTTCTCTTTCTGGTCTGTCTCTGATCTCTCTCCAATCTCTCACCGATCCCTCTCTGGTCTTGCTTTCATTATTAATTGTCAAAATGTTAACGCTTCAAGAAAATGGTGGCAGAAAATAATGTCAATAGTCGTCTGATGCAGTATATTAGGTTCATGTGACATCAGCATGTTCCAAAGAGCAGTGAGGGACACACTGACCTTTGACCTTTGACATCCACAAGTTGACCACAGAATATGTTTGAGACCCCTGCTCAATAGTATCTACTTGACGCTATTACTCTATTACATCCCAACCAGTTGGGGCGGGTTTTGGCTCAAAAGTGGCCAAAATGACGTGCGCTGACATGCTGCAATACCACCCCGGGCTGATGGGGGTGGACCCAGAAGAAGAATTAGCCAATGCTAACATATAGCATTGTCAGACCTCTCGAAAACGTCTTTACAGGATTGACCAAAAGTTGGCTCTTGGCCCAAAGCTCCGTTCCACAATTTTTTTGGACCACTCTAGTTTACTTGCTGTGAATTTTTGAAGTCTCTCGTTCAAATGAATGGAGTTGTGCCAGCTGACGCATGCGCAGATGCGTTTTTTCAGAATTTTCTTGTGGGCGGGACCACTCGCGGCCATTTTGGATTGCTCCAGTAGAGCACATTTTTTGGCCCATTAGTTAGAACGGCGGAGATAGGCGTGACTCTGTCCATTAATATATACAGTCTATGATCCCAACGCACAGAGTAGTTGTGTCCCTTCATCCAAATTAAATTGATATAGAGTTGGTGAGTTATCCAGTTTATACTCAAAGGACCAAAGGAAGTACACTAAATAAAATTATATCAAAACGGGTGGTCTCTTCATCCCACTCCTTTTTCATTGTGTGCTTGAAATAAACTAAAACTAACTAACTACAACCATGCTCAGGTTTTCTTGATAGCATATTATAATCATTTTTCCTCATGCATAATTGAAATCAATAAACAAATGGACTAACTAACTCTTTCTTTGTAAACACTATGTCCATTATTTGGTACAGGACATCTCCATCCCCATGACCGTGGCCTGTAATAGAATCCCTCACTGGGGCCCTGTGTTTAGCTGTGTTTACGAAGCTCATCCGTGTGGACCTGCTTCTTCCTATTATCACAGGACACTAATTACGAGCTGCTGAGGGCCCCTGGACTGGCCCCGGCTGCACTCGGCTGCACTCGGCTCTCATCGGCGCTGAGGGGTTTGGCTCCCGGACCTGGGGCCCTTCTGGGATGACTCGCGCTGTTAATAATAATCATCAGGAGAGCGGGCTGACAGTTGGGGCCCGTGTTTGGCGTGTGTGCGAAGGCCCCTGGGACTAATGGAGCCCAAAGGAGGGGTGTGTAAACAGCAGGGAGTGCTGGTTTGGAAATGGATGCTAGTTTTGTTCTTTTGAATGTGTCTCTTGAATCTTAATAAGGGTGCATTGTTTGAACTGGCTTTTGCATAATATACACTCAATACACAAGATGGGTGTTCAATAATGGAGCGGCCATCTTACGTTTACAAAAAAGCCAAATTGTCCATAACAAGGTGTACAAACAGAGCTAGTAACGCATGTAATAATGATTTTGGCTCATTTGTAAAAAGAGAACATTTGAAAACATCAGAAACATCATGAATTAAGTGAATAATCTACCATGTACAGATGTAAACATACTGCTGCTAACATGTACAGAGGCTAACAAATTACTACATATTGTTTTCACTAGAAAACACAGTACTTAGAGATTTTTAATTTCTTCATTATGTTAAAGAGAGAGATTTTATACTTGTTTCTTTGATGCTAGACTTAAAGATTTTGTTTTATTTTAATTAGTATAGTTCTCTTATCTTCTGCTGTGTGCTTCTCATTCCTACTATTCTGTAACTTGATGCAACACTGAAATTTCCCCACTGTGGGACTGTCTGGTCGTACCACACCTTAGCACAAATTACATTTCGTACTAAGGTCTGGAGGTGCTCCATTGAGCTCTGTTAAAAGGTACTTACTTACTTACTACTGTGACGTATGTATTGCGGCCGTTTGCCTTTAGCCTAGCCACCTCCTTTGCCACTAACGGAGCCCGTGGGGAGTAGCGCCACAATCTTTGCCAGGAGTTACATTTGCTAAACATTCCTCTTGCTCCGGCTTCAATTTCTTGATAGAACGGATTACTTTACTTTATTATTGCATTCTTCACCATTGCGAAACTACAACCTGCCGTTCGGCGCAAACTCTTGACGTCACCCACATCTAACTACAACACCCGCCTCCCGCGCTCTCTGATTGGTCCGATGGAATTCAACTGATGTAATCGCAAACACAGGGACCAGACCCAGACGTTACATGCAGGGAAATGCTGACTGACCGGAGTGTCGGATGGCTAAGGCCAGGCTAGAATGAATAAAAGATCTCCTGGTCTTAATCTAGTGAACTAGTCAAAAACAAGTGATTTTTAAGAACAAAAACTCAGCAGTATGCACTGATGTTGGCTAGGGATGCACCAATACCGATATTGGTTTCGGGTCGACACAATAGGCTTAGGCTTGTACTCATACCATAGAACCTGATCTGGGTAACCGATACCCACATTTTATTTACATTAACGTCACGACAGCAGACAGCGGTGCTGTCATGGTGATCTCCTAAAGTCTGCAGCGAGAAAGCGTTTTGCAGCTAGCTTAGCAGCAATTAGCAAGCAAGCAGCAAGCGGGTTTTAGCCGTACAGCAGTTTTTGAATGTAAACAAGTGACAAGAGTAAAGCAGACTGTACGTTGTGTCAGGCAAAACTGGCACGAGCTGCGTAGGGAGTCAGTTTTCTGGGAGAAGTATGGTAACTTGAGCACTCTCCTCTCCTCCTTCCTACTTTATCTGTCTGCATTATTAGGATTTATCGAATGGATTTACAATTAGGATTTACAATGGGACAACAGGCTATTCACCCATTGTCCCATTGTCTGTGTCATGGTGCGACGACGGGACCTCTGGACCTGGCCTCCTTCACCTTCATCTGCGGACTGCCCTGCCTGACCGGCCTGGGAGTGCTTCAGTCCTGCACCAGACCTGTCCACGTCTTGCAGCCGCTGCGTGGCCCTGGTCCTCGTTCTGTAGCTTAGGTCCTGGATCTATAGCCCGTCCATCCTTGTGGAGCGGATCCCTCTCTCAAACTGTGGGTCTCCCCGAGGTTTCTCACTTTTTTCCCATTGGGTTTTTCTTATAAATCTTTCCTTGCCGATGCAGGAGGGTCTGTTGGGAAGTTAGTGTCCAACAAAAAGGACTGTGGTGATGATCCAGGACACTTTAACATTCTACAACATGTATGGACATTTATCAACATTTGTTCTATATTCTTTATGTGTTTAAACTGTTGATTCTCTGATCTGTGTTGGTGATTTCAATGGTTTTGTTAAGTCCTCTGAGATGACTGCTATTGTGATTTAGGGCTATACAAGAATAAATTGTATTGTATTGTATTGTAAAACCTGGACCTAACCTCAGTTAAGTGCCTTTAGCAGGTCCAGAATGGTGCTCACAGGGACATGTAAGAGAGAGCACATCACCCCTGTGCTGGCCTCATTTCACTGGCTCACACAGTGCTTGCTTGGTCCTGGTTCTATCCAGGCTGAGCTGGTACCAAAGTGTTCTAACTGACAGTGATTGGCCAGAGTGCTGCTGGACATGGCAAGGTTGCTAAGATACAGATTCAGATTCTCTTTGCTATTTGAAGTAAAACCACATTGGAAAACATGTGCAAAAGTCCCCAGTGGGTACATCAATAAATCAAGTACTTAAGCTCAAGCTAGAATACAGGAATAAAACAGGCAACAAAAAAAGTACAGGAAACAAATATCATCTATCAACAAGTGCAATAACATTAAAGTGCTTAAAGATACGGTGTGGAGTAGAGTAGAGTAGAGTGGAAAAGGGCCGCTTTGTAATTAAAGGCCCTTCCTCAGCAAACAACATGATCCTAAAAACAATGGCATCCCCAAAACCACTGCACCTGTTGAGCCAAACTGTTTTTTAAATCTTTTTTGTCTCAAACTCGATCTAAATGTATCTGTGCGTACCGAGGGGGCCTCTCACTCCGCCTCTCTTCAGGGGGGGAAACTTAAGTGTATATACCTCCTGTGCACCCTGCAGCAGCCCACACTACAGGGGCCCCCAGATCCCAGCTGAAGGAGTCCCTTGGGGCCCTTTATTTTCCAGCACACGCAGCAGATCCGGACTCTGCAATTAGCTCGTTATGTTCGCTAACAACCCAAGCAAACGAGCCCAGCACCTGACTAAGACAGGCGTGGCTCCGTTTGGGAGTTCCACGATCATCCTACGGCCGAGCGTTCTACCTCCTCCACCTACTCTTATCTAGTCTATCAGTGAGTCGTCCTTATTTATATAGCACATTTCACAGATACACAAAGAGAGGTCACACAAAGAGCTTTACAAATGAAGAGTTATTTTTTGTACAGACAGATATCTTAGAAAATGCGTCAAAAGAGTGGTTTTCCTCCCTCTGGTGTCTCTCTCGCTGGTCTTTCTCCCTGGTGTCTCTCTCTGGTCTCTCCCTCTCTCTGGTTTCTCTCTCGCTAGTCTCTCTCTCTGGTCTCTCTCTTTCTGGTTTCTCTCTCTGGTGTCTCTCCCACTGGTCTTTCTCCCTGGTGTCTCTCTCTGGTCTCTCTCTCTCTGGTTTCTCTCTGGTGTCTCTTGCTAGTCTCTCTCGCTGGTCTCTCTCCCTGGAGTGTCTCTCTGGTGTCTCTCTTGCTAGTCTCTCTCGCTGGTCTCTCTCCCTGGAGTGTCTCTCTGGTCTCTCTCTCTCTTTTTCCCTGATTGACTCAACATGGCTTTGGAGAGTTGCTTGGGGCCTACTTTAACATGAGTTTGTGTATTATTGGAAGAGTAGAAACTTCCTGCGTGCATCTCTCTTACTCGCCTTTCTCCTCTTTTCTCTCCTCCATCCTCTCTCTCGTCTCCTCTCCCACCTAACTTTCCTCTTCTCTCCACTCTTTCGTCTCTCTTTCCACTTCTCTATCTTTGCTCTTCTCTCCCCTCTCTCCTTTATCCCTCTCCTCTCCTCTATTTCCTCTCGTCTTTCCTTGCTCCTCTCCCTCCTCTCTCTCATTTCCTCTTTCCTCTTCGCTCCTCTTACCTTGCTCCTCCTTCCTCTCCTCTCCCTCCTCTCTCCCTCCTCTCTCCCCCCTCTCTCCCTCCTCTCTCCCCCCTCTCTCCCCCTCTCTCCCTCCTCTCTCCCTCCTCTCTCCCCCTCTCTCCCTCCTCTCTCCCTCCTCTCTCCCCCCTCTCTCCCTCCTCTCTCCCCCTCTCTCCCCCCTCTCTCCCTCCTCTCTTCCCTCCTCTCTCCTCCTCTCTCCCCTCCTCTATCTCTCCTCTCTCCTCCTCTCTCTCCCCTCTCTCCCTCCTCTCTCTCTCCTCTCTCTCCTCTCTCCCTCCCTCCTCTCTCCCCCTCTCTCCCTCCTCTCTCCCCTCCTCTCCTCCCTCCTCTCCCCTCCTCTCTCCCTCCTCTCTCCCCCCTCTCTCCCTCCTCTCTCCCCCCTCTCTCCCTCCTCTCTCCCCCCTCTCCCTCCTCTCCTCCTCCCTCCTCTCCCCCTCTCTCCCTCCTCTCTCCCCTCTCTCTCCCTCCTCTCTCCCCCCTCTCTCCCTCCTCTCTCCCCCCTCTCTCCCCCCTCTCTCCCTCCTCTCTCCCCCCTCTCTCCCTCCTCTCTCCCTCCTCTCTCCCCCCTCTCTCCCTCCTCTCTCCCCCCTCTCTCACTCCTTTCTCCCTCCTCTCTCCCTCCTCTCTCCCCTCTCTCCCCCCTCTCTCCCCCCTCTCTCCCTCCTCTCTCCCTCCTCTCTCCCCCCTCTCTCCCTCCTCTCTCCCTCCTCTCTCCCCCCTCTCTCCCTCCTCTCTCCCTCCTCTCTCCCCCCTCTCTCCCTCCTCTCTCCCCCTCTCTCCCTCCTCTCTCCCTCCTCTCTCCCCCCTCTCTCCCCCCTCTCTCCCTCCTCTCTCCCCCCTCTCTCCCTCCTCTCTCTCCTCTCTCCCTCCTCTCTCCCTCCTCTCTCCCTCCTCTCTCCCCCTCTCTCCTGTGTTTTGAAGGCAGTGAGCAGGACTTGTCTCCCCTCATTAGCGCCTCCTCGTCAGGAACAGCCTCTTCCACTTAACGACTCAAAGCGAGATCAGCTCTGATTGTCTCACTCTCCCACAAACTATTAAGACTATTAACTGTCTGCATCTGTCTTTCATTAGGCTTTGAGTCACCTCCTCCTCTGCCACACACACACACACGCACACATGCACACATGCACACACACACACACACACACACACACACACACACACACACACATACACACGCACACAAACATAAATCCTCACACATACATAAACCCATTTACATACAACCTCACACATACACACACAAACGCGCACAAACACATTTCAAATCAATCTATCACATTTTATTTATAGAGCCCTTGAAAAATTCAAGGCGACCAAAGTGCTTTTCAATTAAATGATATAGAATTCACTAAAACATACATGCAATCAAAAAAATGATGCACACACAAACATTGTAAGTAAGGCAAGGCAAGGCATGTTTATTTGTATAGCACAATTCATACACAAGGCAACTCAAAGTGCTGAACAAGATAGCATTAAAATCATAAATAATCACAGAACATTAAAAAGAAAGATAAAAATATAAAATCCCTCAGTTGCATGCACAGCTAAACAGCACAGTTTTTAACTTGGTTTTAAACATAGTCAGAGAGGAGGCCTGTCTCACATCTTCAGGAAGAATGTTCCAGATTTTAGCAGCATTAATCTGAAAAGCAGCCTCCCCATGTTTAGTTCTGACTCTGGGCACTAACAGGAGTCCAGTCCCTGTGCTCCTCAGAGTCCGGGCTGGTTCATATGGGACTAACATGTCACTAATATATTTTGGTGCGAGGCCATGGAGAGACTTGTAACAAGCAGAGCTGTTTTAAAGTCTATTCTCTGAGCCACAGGAAGCCAGTGCAGAGACCTGAGGACTGGACTAATGTGGTCGTACTTCTGGTTCTGGTCAGGACTAATGTGGTCGTACTTCCTGGTTCTAGTCAGGACTAATGTGGTCGTACTTCCTGGTTCTAGTCAGGACTCGAGCTGCTGCATTTTGAATGTACTGCAGCCGTTTTTACAGCCTGTTTGGACAGACCTGTGAGCAGGCCATTGCAGTAGTCTAACCTACTGGAGACAAATGCATGGAGAAGAATCTCCAAGTCTGTTTGGAGTCTGAAATGTTTTTTAGATGGTAAAAAGCTGCTGATGTTACTGATTTGATGTGGCTATTAAAATTTAAGTCTGAGTCCAGTATTACCCCTAGATTTCTGACCTTGTTTGAAGGTTTTAGGGAGAGAGACTGTAGATGACAGATGACGCTCTCTCTTTGTTTCTGGGGACCAAAGACAATCATTTCAGTTTTGTCTGCGTTTAGCTGAAGGAAGTTGTTTTGCATCCACTCACTGATCTGTTGGATACAGTGAAGGAGTGAGTCCACTGGTCCATGTTCTCCTGCAGTCAGTGAGACATAGATCTGAGTGTCGTCTGCATAGTTATGATAGGAAACTTCGTTTCTGCGTATTAACTGACCTAACGGCAGCATGTAGAGATTGAACAGAAGAGGTCCCAGGATCGACCCCTGTGGTACTCCACAGGTCAGGGCCATATGATCTGAGACACAGTTTCCAATCTCCACAAAGTACTTCTTGTCTTCAAGGTAAGACCTAAACCAACTTAGGGCGGTGCCAGCGACGCCAACCCAGTTCTCTAGTCTCTGTAAGAGGATCTCATGGTCGACAGTGTCAAAGGCAGCACTCAGATCTAACAGGATTAGGATTGAGACTTTGCCTGCGTCAGTGTTTAGCCGGATATCGTTTGTAACCTTGACGAGAGCAGTCTCAGTGCTGTGGTGGGGTCTAAAGCCGGACTGAAACATATCAAATGAGTTGTTGATTATAAGAAATCTATTTAGCTGTTGGTAGACAACTTTTTCAAGGACTTTCCCCATAAATGGCAGATTTGAGATGGGACGGTAGTTGTTAAGTACCGTAGCATCTAGACTGCTCTTTTTAAGCAGGGGCCTGATGACTGCAGTTTTCAGGGCCTTTGGGAATATTTCAGAATGAAGGGACATGTTTACTATCTGTGTGAGTGAAGGTAACAGACTGCTCAGAACAGACTTTAGAAATCTAGTGGGTAGTACATCCAGGCTACATGTGGAGGCGCTCAGACTGGAGATTATCTCTTGGACAGTTTGATCATATACAGGTGCAAAGTAAGTTAGCTAAGAGAGCCTTTCTGGCTGTTGGATGGTTATCTGTGGATTGGAGACAATGGCGTTTTTGATGCCTTGAACCTTGTCATTGAAAAAATGTGCAAACTCATTACATTTACGTTTGGAAGTTAGCTCTAATGGCATCTGAACAGGGGGGTTTGTTAATCTATTAACTGTTGAGAACAGAACACGCAGATTGTTGCTGCAGCCTTCAATCATTTCAGAAAAATACCTTTCTCTCGTACTACGTAGCACCTGGTTAAACTCGCACAACTTATCTTTGAAGATCTCGTAGTCAACCTGGAGGTTGGACTTGCGCCACTTCCGCTCGGCCCTCCGGCACTTTCTCTTTTGTGCCCTGACCGAGTCTGCTTTAGCCCACGGCGCCTTCTGCTTATTTTTCACTATTTTAACCTTCACAGGGGCAACGGTATCCAGAACATTCAAAACACTAGAGGTGACAGAGTTAAACAGTTCATCTACAGTAGAATACGATGCATTTTCAAAGTTTATCATTCCCATAAATAGTTCACCCGTATTTTCATTTATGTGTCTTCTTCGTACAGTTGCAGAGTCCACTGGTGGTTTGTTAGTGAAAAATACACAAAAATGATCCGAAAGCGCAACATCGACCACGTTTACATTTGAAATATTCACCCCCTTAGTAACTAACAGGTCTAGAGTGTGCCCTCTGCTGTGGGTGGGGCCACTCACATGCTGAGTGAGACCAAAAGATTCAAGAACAGAACTCAGCTCTTTTGCCATTCTGTCAATAACATTATCCACATGAATATTAAAATCCCCTGTAATAACTAAGCTATCAAAATCTGTGCATAAAACTGAAAGAAACTCCGTAAAATTATCAATAAATCTGTGACATGACTGCGGTGGCTTGTATAGGACAATGAAGAGTATTGGACTAGGTTGTTTTTGTTGTATTTTAAAAGACACATATTCAAAAGACGGAAACTTCCTGAGAGACATTCTATGGGAGACAAAGTGGTCTCTGAAAATGGCAGCTAAGCCTCCTCCTTTTTTGTTTCCCCGTATTTCAGATTCAAATTTGAAATTTGGTGGTGATGCTTCTATTAAAACTGCATTTTCTGTATTTTGGTCAAGCCATGTTTCAGCCATGAACATAAGATCTAGATTATAAGAACAAATAAAATTATTGATTAAAAAAGACTTGTTACAAAGAGATCTGACATTTAGCATAGCAATTTTCAAAGTTTCAGTATCAGCGGTTGTGGTCGGCTGATTCTTACACGGAACAAGAATTAGATTTTCCTGATTAGACTGATTAACTTCAGATGTTTTTCTGTAATGTATTCTTTGTGTTATCACTAAAGGAATGGCACAGGTGGCTTCATGACAGGGCCCCAGCCGGGTCTCTCCTCTGACTAGACTGCCAGTGGCTGCGAAGCAGAGACCCTGTGCATCCTAGTGCTTAGGCCCCGTCCCAATTCTCGCCCTTGCCCTTAAAAAGCACACTTGCCCTAGCGTTTGCGCGTGCCCGCGCGAGTGCAAGGGTGTCCCAATACTTAGGGAGACGAGGCGAGGGTCTTCACTGCCCTAAAAACCACCCTTGAGCGCAAGTGAGGTCGGGAGCTCACTTGCGAGCGAGGGTGATCCCATGATGCATTGCGAACTCGGCAAACCAGTTTTTCCAAATGAACATGGCGCCGACTCTCGGGAGCGAAAGCTACAAATGTAAGTACAATTTCACACAAACATGCACTCTAAAAGCTATGAAACGTGTCAGAATTATGTGGGTACGCAATTTATTCTACAATGTAGAATGCCGGTGTTGGCTCGCTGTTTCGTACGTGTGCATGTGCATGGCATGGTGTGCATTGAATTCATAAACATAGGTAAGCGTTTGTCTTCACCATTAACGTTGGTTGTGTGTTTGCAAATCTGCGCAAACAGCTTGCAGTAGTAGTGGAACTGAACAATTGACCAACGCTGTTTTTCCCCCAGGGACCACGGAGAAAACCTTTGCTCTCATAAATTACAGAGCTGCGAATGAAGCCAATTTTCTGAAAACAAAATTTCAGACAAAAAGTCTGTGGCAGTAAGTGAAACTTCTATTCTTAATAATAATGCTATTGAACACAGCTAAATGCCTATACCTCACTGTATGTTCACAGGCAAGCAGTGAAAGAGCTGGGCCTGGAGGGGAAAGTGACCCACAAGCAGGTCAGAAGTGGGAGAACCTGAAGAAGCGCTACAAGGTAATTATCTGCAAATATATCTGTCTGGTTAATCCTGTAACCTCAACTCACTTTGCTGTGTGTGTGTGTAGGACCTAAGGGACCCAAAGACTGGCTCAGGCACAGATAGTGGGGAGAAGACCGCTTCAAACTGGCCGTATTACGCTGCGCTTCACGCAGTCTTGGGGGGAAGGCCTGCTGTGGATCCCCCTGTTGTTGTGGCGTCTTTCAGGCCAGCTGAAGACCCTACAGCTTTGCTAATGGTAAGAAACAAGGGAATATTTTTATAGGGGCGGTGTACAATAAACATTAACCCAAAGGAAAGATGCATTGAACCACTAGTCCCTGAGCAGGTTGTTGTCAAACAGTAAAATGTAAGTAATTGGAGGAATTATCAGACCAAAATTTCTATTTCATTTACCACAAGTTAAATAAAAAACACTGGCCAGCCCCATTATTCACTTATTATAAAGACATTTCTGCACTGAATTCACACAGACACGTCACACATGGAAACAGAGTTGCCTTTCCAATAGACATGTTTTTGTACTGCATGTGAATACTTTTAGTTCAGTGCAGGTGATGATCTCAGTTGGGAGTGAGTCCAGAACATTTTGGGACGCTGCACTCTCCACGTGCTGTAGACCGAGTGGCATGTG